TCTAAGCATCCGAAAAACATACTCATATATCCACTAAGGTTTGAGGTTTGTATAACGGATCAACATCATGGAAAACGAGTGTAACCCATAAGTGCCCTCTTCTTCTTCTTACAAGTCTTAAGTCCGAAGAAGCTCAGCTCAGTGTACAAGCTCTGTAACAACGGCAAGGATCCTGAAATACTTTGAGTAGATTTTTAACTCTAAATTTTGCAAGGGCAGCGCTGTTAGGCTACTCTATTCGATTTCCATCTGTCAAGAAAATTATTAAGTGAGCAACAATGCACTCGGGCGTCCGATCTGACTACATAGAGACCAGGGGGATTACTAGAAGTCTAAGTTCTCGTAAAAAAAATATTCCTAGCCCTTACCAGGGATTGAACACGGAACCTCTAGCACTCGAGGCGGACACCATGCCTCGAGACCATGCAACACCCCTCAAATATCCACTGGAAGTTTCATAATTCGATAATTCAAAGCACTGCACACTTCACAGGCATAGTTAATAACACTTAATACTTTACAACAGCCTGTTTCAAAAATGTAAATACAAAGACATTTTTACACATATAAAAATTGCACGTCCACTCATTATTTCACTCCGAAAAACTACACATTTTTTTTTGTTCACCCACGTTTTACAGCTGACCGAAAGAGCGCCTTGAACCATAAATTAGAGAAGGCCTTGTACAACGCCACCAACGGGCACTGTGGCGAACATTTCATGGCGCGATATTCAAATTCTTTAAGAAAGCGTTCCTGTCAACATCTGTACCATACTTTATAAGATAATCTTTACAGAGTTATTAAAAATATACCATGGTTACTGTTTTTTGACGACATGGTATATAAAACATATGTATAACGCAAAGTTAACGATATAACAACAACATATACCTGGTATGTGAGACGAAGGGCAACTGACAACACTTTGTGCTATGGTAACAATCTTATGTAATATCAACATATTTACAGCATAACAGCTTTTTGCATGTGACAATCTAATGGTAATATTATCGTACCACATACCAGCACAAACACATGATGTCAACAGATAAATAAATACGTTTTGTTTGATAGGCACTCATAGATGTAGAAAGAAGGAATAGAGCTTAAAGGACACACTGGACAGACAAATTAAAAGGTATGTAAATTTTTTAGATGCGAACCACCTGGGAAAAAATGGCAGTTCGTCGCCATGGTATCATTATATATATATATACACATATAGACAGACAGACAGACAGACAGACAGACAGACAGACAGACAGACAGACAGACAGACAGACAGACAGACAGACAGACAGACAGACAGACAGACAGACAGACAGACAGACAGACAGACAGACAGACAGACAGACAGACAGACAGACAGACAGACAGACAGACAGACAGACAGACAGACAGACAGACAGACAGACAGACAGACAGACAGATAGATAGATAGATAGATAGATAGATAGATAGATAGATAGATAGATAGATAGATAGATAGATAGATAGATAGATAGATAGATAGATAGATAGATAGATAGATAGATAGATAGATAGATAGATAGATAGATAGATAGATAGATAGATAGATAGATAGATAGATAGATAGATAGATAGATAGATAGATAGATAGATAGATAGATAGATAGATAGATAGATAGATAGATAGATAGATAGATAGATAGATAGATAGATAGATAGATAGATAGATAGATAGATAGATAGATAGATAGATAGATAGATAGATAGATAGATAGATAGATAGATAGATAGATAGATAGATAGATAGATAGATAGATAGATAGATAGATAGATAGATAGATAGATAGATAGATAGATAGATAGATAGATAGATAGATAGATAGATAGATAGATAGATAGATAGATAGATAGATAGATAGATAGATAGATAGATAGATAGATAGATAGATAGATAGATAGATAGATAGATAGATAGATAGATAGATAGATAGATAGATAGATAGATAGATAGATAGATAGATAGATAGATAGATAGATAGATAGATAGATAGATAGATAGATAGATAGATAGATAGATAGATAGATAGATAGATAGATAGATAGATAGATAGATAGATAGATAGACAGATAGATAGACAGATAGATAGACAGATAGATAGACAGATAGATAGACAGATAGATAGACAGATAGATAGACAGATAGATAGACAGATAGATAGATAGATAGATAGACAGATAGATAGATAGATAGATAGATAGATAGATAGATAGATAGATAGATAGATAGATAGATAGATAGATAGATAGATAGATAGATAGATAGATAGATAGATAGATAGATAGATAGATAGATAGATAGATAGATAGATAGATAGATAGATAGATAGATAGATAGATAGATAGATAGATAGATAGATAGATAGATAGATAGATAGATAGATAGATAGATAGATAGATAGATAGATAGATAGATAGATAGATAGATAGATAGATAGATAGATAGATAGATAGATAGATAGATAGATAGATAGATAGATAGATAGATAGATAGATAGATAGATAGATAGATAGATAGATAGATAGATAGATAGATAGATAGATAGATAGATAGATAGATAGATAGATAGATATAAAATAACATCGGCGACAGGGGTTGCCTAAAGGCTAGCAGCTACACGACTTGGTCGCCGGTCGGGACATTATTTTAGTCTGTATCCTTTGACCGCATCAACGCGGCAGTAAGGGTTTCCCAACTTCTGGCACCCCCGTAACCACTTAACCAGACAGCCCCCTGACAACAAGAATAGTTAACTAATATTATAACAAAATTAAGTGTTTACATAATGAAGTTAATTGTAAGCTTAAAGACAAATGATAAATATGCAACCTACAAAAGTGTGTTAAAGAAAACGAATGGACAGGGCAAACTGTTAGACCAGCCAGCTAGACCGGTTGTAAACATATTAATTTTTAAATTCAAGCTCCGTCTCATTTTCTCAGTTTTCATGCTGATCCTCTTGTGTCTTTGTTACTCCCTACCATTTTATTTCAATCTCAAGCTTTCTTGTTTCCCTCCCAATTCCTTTGTTAGTGTCTGAATCTTGTTTTCCACGAATTCAATTAATTTTTTTTCGACTTTTTCATTATGTATTTCACCGTAATCAGTTTCTTAGTTCTTCTCCCAGGTCTAATTGCAAGATGGATTTTTCTGATTTATGGACTACGAGATCTAGTTGTCGGATGCTAAGGTCTAATTATTGGATTATGTGATCTAATTGCTGCATTATGAGGCCTAGGTGTTGGATAAGGTGATCTCATTCATATATTTTGAGATACAGGTGTTGGATAGGTGTTCTCGTTAGTGTATTATGAGGTATAGGTGTTAGATAAGGTGATATAAGTATTGGATTATGAGGACTAGGTGGTGGATAAGGTGATCTCATTCACGTATTTTGAGATATAGGTGTTGGATGGGTGTTTTCATTGCTGTATTATGAGGTATAAGTGTTGGATAAGGTTATATAAGTATTGGGTTATGAGGCCTAGGTGTTGGATAAGGTGATCTCATTGAATAATTATGAGATTAAGGTGTTGGATAATGTGATCTCATTAATGTTTTATGAGATAGAGGTGTTGGAAAATATGAGCTTAATAATGTATTATGAGGTATAGATGTTGGATAAGGGATATAAATGCTGGATTATGAGGCCTACGTGTTGGATAATGTGATATCTTCTTGTTGGATTAGAAGGATTAACTGTTAAATTATGAGGTATAGTGTTGGGATTAGGGGGTCTACCTGCTAGATTATGATTTACAACTGCTAAATTAAAAATGTATGTTAACTGTTGCGCACAGATACAATGTCATAAACTTAGGGTTATTGTCTACGAGCTTTATTATACCGTTTTGAAAATCGACATTGTAACTTCTAGATGCCATTTTGAAATAAGTATGCACGGGAAGAGGCCAATCGGAAGACACCAAAATCCGCATAATGGATATGGAAACCCTTGGCATAGATATAGATTAGTGGATATGAGTTGCAGAAGACAGGAGAGATGTTTCAAACGGACTAGTGCTATTTCGTTTTCTTTCGGCGGGATCTGCCTACAGAAAATATAACAACTGGCATCAAACTTCATAGTCATCAACGGTGCTGTCGAGGGCGCGCCTGCCAAGTGGCAGAAGTTGTGAGGTATATCTTCTTACTGTTCTCCTTGTTGTTGTTGTTGCTGTTGTTCTTGTTGTTGTTGTTGCTGTCGCTATTGTTGTTGTTCTTCTTCATCATCTTATTCTTCTTAGCATGTCTTTTAAATGGTAGTAAGCACGTCTGTTGTGGTTTACTGCGACATCTGAGCCTTTATATCTAAAACATTCGATTTCAACAAACTTCTAATTCGTTGCCTTTTACAAATGCTTGCAGTCTATCCACCCCTCCCCCTTTTTTTCCGCCCCACCGTCTACGGGGCCCCGGAATCCACATGTTAGGGATATAAGAAGTAGTATGTTAACATTAAACTGGGTATATCAGGTAGTTCAGAGACGCACTAGATTTCTCCAAACATCTAGAAGAGGCACGTAATGTGTTTGATTATAGTGTACTTTTGTTATAAACACAAACTGGCATCACAATAGCACTTTAACCCGTATCAGCTGAAGGAGACATATGATCCTGCTTGATCCATGAATGTACATTTATCAGTCTTAGAGATGTTGGTGAAACACACTCTGTGCACAGTTAAGTGCATGTTTTTGTGTGGATGCCATCTCCTCAATGCAGTTTGGCAGTAGTGGATATCTACATCTACTGATAGTTATGGGATATTAATCTCTTTCAAGATGCGGCTCTCATTTTATTGTCTAAGAGCTCAGAGGACTTTCCTTACTGTTTTTTTTTTAACGGAAAGCCGCAGAAATTGAACACTGATATATCAAGAAGCTTTCCTAACTTCAAAGGAACAGAGGTGCACACAGTTTAACTTGGATAACAGCAAAACATACAAGTATATAGCCATCAGTCTGTGTCAAGATGACCGTTTGTCCATATGTTGTCGTGTTCTTGTTTTATGCCTGGTTACAAGAGGAGAAGCAGGCTTCGGTACTCTTGCATAGCTGAAGGCTGAATGCGGAGATGACGGTCTCGTGAACTCGGCACCGGGCAGTGCTGAGGCTGATTTGCTCCTGTGGATTGTAGCAATGGTGCTCTGGCTGGTCGAGAATGAAAAAGCAGCTGGGCCGGAGTTTGTACTGCCGGGTGTGTCTAAATGCTGGTAGTATGTTTTTCCTAGGCCTCCACTGTAGCAGAATGAAGCCGCTTTTCGCTCCGGCTTTCTATCAGACCCGGAACCGGAATTCGATATGTCAACTGTCAAGTTACGGGGAGATAACTGTTGCGCGTGTGACATCATGGATCTAGGATCTGCAGTTCTTGGGCTATCAATGTTTTTTGAATAGCTGGGAGACTGCTGAAAGTATCCTGGTGGTTCAGCAATGTTCGCAACCTCCGGGGATGGAGGTGAAAGAATGAATGCAGTGTGGCCTGGCTTATCTGAAATCGCTGATGCGGTTCTTGATAAACCCATGGAACGTTCACTGCCTGCGTGTTCGCTTCCACGACATGATATGTTGCTAGAAGGACTGTCGCTTCTGGAATCATGCTGCTTCAGTGGTCTGAAGACGACCATTTCTTGCTGGAAGCTGGAGGGACGCACGGGGTCAGGAGAAGGTTTTGAGGGTTTCAGTGTTGGTTTTGAAATGGTCTGAGTTGACTGCGGCAATAAATGGACAGACGGAGCAGATGGTTCTAAGTTGAAAGAAATACGCGGTGGTGTTGACTTTTCGTGGGATCTCGATGAGGTAGTATGCGAATGCCCAGATCTAGGTGGAGTAAACGAATGGCGTCTCTCCCTTTCGTCTACACAAATCTCATAAGAAGGAGATAATAAACGTCTTTCGGGGGAATTCTCATTAATTGTAATCTGGGGTACTCTCAGCTGATTTCCTTCCCGTAATCTATCTACCCGAGCTACAGGGTTGAAGGAGTGTCTTCTATCAATTCTTCTGTCGTCTTGGAAGCCTTGATATGGGAATTGATAACCTTCAGCTTTAAGATAACTGACTGCACTGTCTGAAGCTGAATGATGAGGCCTGTCTGGTAAATCATTTATAGCCACAGATGGTCGCTCTTCAACGAAGGGATCTAACCCAGGAACCTGAAGAAAACCCGAAGCTTGCTGTGGAATGTGAGCTGGTCGTATCTCTTCTAGCATGCTAGTGGGATTAAAGGAGCCTCTTCGACCATCCATCTTGCCAGCAAAATCAGGCTTCCTTGCATTGCTGAGACCCATAGGGTTAAAAGAGTGTCTTCTATGTTCGTGAGGATCGATGTAAATTTGTGTATCCCTGCGAATTGGGTAAAACGAGTGTCTTCTTGTGGTCGGTTGAGGAGCAACAGAATTAACATGATGACGAGTAGAAAAAGGATTGACTGACGATCGTCTTCTATCTCGTATGGTTTTTCTTTCTTCCCCGGCTATAAACTTGTCACAGGTCCTGTACGGTATAAACGAGTTTCGTCTAATGGCAGCTACAGTGTGGCGCCCATCTGCAGACACCGAGTCATTGAAACCTTCTTGGCTTTCCGAAGCCTCCAGCAACAACAGAAATTTCATTCTTCTTGTTCGCATATCACCGCAGGCAAATGTACCACGCCTCTCAATCAGCCTCGTTAACGGAAACGAACCACATTCTTTCTGTGAGTCGTCTTCAAGGCTATCCCTTTGATACGACGGCAGGGCCTTAACTGACGAAAACCGTCGTTGTTTCTGGACAAACATGTCCGATGATCCAGAATTCCACTGAACAATTGTCCTCAACATCATTGACTTCCTCCTCAGCCTGGCTTCGTCCATTGTGTAATCACAACTAAGCGTTTTAGAGTCTGTCATCTTAACCCCAACACGACTCGCACGCTTGATACTCAATGAACGACGTATATTTGGCAAGGACGACGTCTTCAGCCAATTATCCTCACTTTTTAATCGTTGGATTCTGGCTTGGATAATACTATAGCGCTTATTGGGAATAGGAGGCGAAGGAGTGTAGCCCTCGCACTCGATATCAATCTGTTGTTCTAACGTAAGCGGCTCGCTGACGTTGTAAGGAATATACTCAGGTGTGTAGTTACGGTCGTAGCTCTGGATGTCTAGCAAACGACTATGCTCAGCTGCTTTTGAGTATGCGGTGATTAACGTTTGGGCGTAGCTCTTTTTCATTTCCCCTATAATAAATTCGTACAGCTCTTCCTTAGTAAACACTGCTTTCTTCTTGTCTGGTACAAGAATTGCGTACTTATCTAAAACTTCACAATAAAAAACACATGCCGTAATCATTGCAAATATTCCAATAGCCATAAGAACAGGACCAATATAGGCACATGCCTTTAGAGTTAACTGTTTAGAATCAAGATCCGGTTCGGGACTGATAACTGTACTGTTTGCTTTCAGGACATTTGTTGAATTCCGATGACCCGGAACGTAGCCTACCACAGACATGCCGGCACCAGTAGCAACTGCCAGGAGTCCTAGAGCAATGACCACAGTAGCAGGAAGCAAACAGGGCATGTTGAGGAACTCCCTGATACCAAGACGTCGCCTGAACAGACGACGCTTCCTGACTTTGTCCTCCAGAACCCCATGGGGAATTTTGGCGTTGGATACTTGCATGCCGGCCTGGTGACATGGATCCGGGCATTTACACAAGTGTCACAATCTCAAATGTGTATTTGGGCTTAGTAGCCACAGTAACCTAAACGTTGAAGTGTCTTCATATTTATGTGTACTGTTCGCTTCTCCAGATGGTCCATTTAGTTAAATTTACTGGATATTGAATATACTGTTTTTCTGACAGAGAAAATGCAGTTCTGTATAGAGAAGGCGTCATTGTCTAAGCCAACAGTAAATCTTAAGTCAAACTTGGTTGCTCTGTAAAAGAAAAACAATAGTAAACATTATAATGTGAAGCAATGAAAACTTTCTTTATCTTTAATAAAAAAGGAAATCTATATTAGCACAAGTATTTATCTGCAATATTAAACACACCAACAACAAATACACTACCACACAGAGATACACACCCAAAAGAAATACACGGAATCAGACTGATACACACCCACAACAAATACACGGCCTCACACAGATACACACCCACAACAAATACACGGCCTCACACAGATACACTCCCACAACAAATACACGGCCTCACACAGATACACACCCACAACAAATACACGGCCTCACACTGATACACACCCACAACAAATACACGGCCTCACAGATACACACCGACATCAAATACACGGCCTCACACTGATACACACCCACAACAAATACACGGCCTCACACAGATTCACATCCACAACAAATACACGGCCTCACACAGATACACACCTACAATAAATACACGGCCTCACACAGATACACACCCAAAACAAATACACGGCCTCACACAGATACACACCCACAACAAATACACGGCCTCACACAGATACACACTCACAGCAAATACACGGCCTCACACAGATACACACCCACAACAAATACACGGCCTCACACTGATACACATCCACAACAAATACACGGCCTCATACAGATACACACCCACAACTCACACACATTACAATACAGATTGGACTGAGTACTACAAGAGTTTGAATTTTTTTGAAATGGAGGAGGGGAGGAGGGGAGGACATTAAGATACCTGAAACATAACCAAATATTCATATGTTGATTGGCACTCAAAGAAAAAAATATTAAAATAAAGAAGAACACGTAGACTAGTGTGGTGAAGCATATTAAGATGTGACCCATTTATGATGCAACACTGTATTTAGAGAATCGCTACGATTAGTTCTTAATTTTCCAGTTTTCTCCACTTGTTTTGGGCATTTTATTGTCAATATACTTCAATGCGTTAGGGCTAGCTTTGAAACGTCACTGAATGTAAGGTCGCAGCCGAAAACAGTGGAACCCCGCTTAACGAGCATAATTTGTTCCAGAATCATAGTAAAGCGAAACACTCGATATGGGAAACAATTTTTCTCATATAAATTATTGTCGGAAAAATAGTTATAAAATGTTATGTATAATGTTAATTCAAAGAACATTATATACATATAGTTAAGGAGAGTGAATCACCTTCATCTTTTCTTCCACCGCGGAACGAACCCACCTGGAATTGGAATTCAATTTGCAGAAAACAAAATCGAAATAATTATGATACATACCTAATTATGTTTTACTAGAAAGATGTCCAGAGACATTTATTTGGTTTTGCCGATGCTTCAAAATTTAGCGAAAATGCGACACAGCACTATCATTAAATAAATTTGCAGCGCGCATAGCCACTTCCTTATTAGGGTGATGTTTATAAATGTAAGTTGCAACAGTTTCCCATGCTTTCAGTATTTCTCTTATTTTGCCTGAAGATTGTTGCTTTTCTGTTACCCATTCCTCTCCTCTGACAAACTTTCCTCCAAAACTTCTCGCTGTGAAACACAATGCAACTCCATAAGCTCTTCGGTGGTCAGCTCTTGGCTGGCTGTGCTCTTCCACAAGCTCTTCGATATCCATCTCCAATCCCATGATAGTGGCCAAAGACACAATCTCGTTGACGAGTTCCACTGGTACTGTCTCGAACCCCTCAAAGTCACATTCGACAACGCTCTCCGACCAAAGCTTCTTAAAAGCAGAAGTTATGGTTCTCTTGGTAACCCATTCCCATGCCTTGTCGATCATCTTGAGGCTGGCAACGACATGGAATTGATATTTTCCAAAACTCTCTGAGAGCGAGATTGGTCCCTTCAGTCACTTGAAAACAATGAGCGAGGAGTACTTTAGTGTAGAATTTCCTAAAGTAAGAAATAACTTGCTGGTCCATGGGCTGGAGTAACAGAGTGGTGTTGGGAGGCAGAAACTGGATTTTGATGGACTTAAATTCTTCAGGGAGGTCATCTTGTAGGCCTGAAGGATGGACAGGAGCGTTATCCATAACAAGCAAGATATGGAGTGACATATCCATCAGAAGCAAATTTTTTTTTTTTTCACAGAAGAACCAAACTCCTCATTGATCCTTTCAGTAAAAAGTTTTCATGTCACCCAAACCTTCCTGTTGGACTTCCATGTCACATTAGGTCTGCTCTTTAAAAAAAACAAAATTATTGAAGGCTCGTGGAGTTCCTGAATGGTAAACAAACAGCGGTTTAATTTTCAAATCGCCGCTTGCATTGACACAAAATAGCAACGTTAGACGGTCTTTCATTGGCTTGTGGCCGGGCGATGCATTCTCCTCTGCTATTATATACGTTCGTTTCGGCATCTTTTTCCAGAAGAGACCGGTTTCGTCACAATTAAAAACCTGTTGCGGCAAGTAACCTTCAGAATCTACGAGCTTCTTGAAATTGCCGATGAAGTTCTCTGCTGCTTATGTGTCGGAACTTGCTGCCTTACAGTGCCTGACAACGCTGTGAATGCCGGTTCTCTTTTTAAACTTTTCGAACCACCCACGGCTTCCCTTAAATACTTCTTCTTTGGCCGTTGATCATCCTGGCGTCTTCTTTACGAGGTCGGCGAAAATCATTTTCGTCTTCTCACAACTGATGTTCTTGGTAATAGTGTCACCTTGCAATTGCTTTTCATGTACCCATATGAGAAGCAACCTTTCAACATCGTCGAGAATACGTAACCGTTGTGCAGATATTCTTGTAACTCCCTGTGAAGCATCTATCTCCTTAATCTTGTCCTTGTTCTTGAGGATAGTGCAAATCGTTGATGTAGATCGATTGTATGTGCGTGCTAGATCAGCCACGTTTACACCTCGTTCTCGCTTTTCAATGATTTGATGTTTCATTTCTGTTATTTTTACTCTCTTATGGCCGTTTTCTTGCGGCTTTTTCTTAGGGGAAATTTTTGGAAGGGTTTATTAAACTTTTCACACACAAGATTGCAAATTATTTCCTAATTATCTTCCTAATGTGTGATCACAAGCGACACTACGATGCTACTGGAAGGAGTGCTAAACACCGACTGATGTAACATGCGCACAATTCGGGACTTTCCCTCTCCTCGCCATTCGTTATGTGAAACGTCGCTCATTGAGCAAGTCTTTCTTTTACAATTTCTTTTGCTCGTTATGCGAATTGCTCGTTATGGGAGGTGCTCGTTAAGCGAGGTTCTACTGTATGTCTGTTCGGGCCGTCTTTCTCTCTCTCTCTCTCTCTTTCTCTCTCTTTCTCTCTTGTGTGCGCGCACTGTTTGTGTATGTGTGCACGCGTGCGTGCGTGCGTGTGTGTGTTTCTGTTATTTTGTTTGTTTACATCCCGACCGTATAATCAACTATTCAACGAAGGTGTCACCAGTAAGTCTGAAGGACACTCACAGCACGACGGAGAAGACAGGTGGTCCTTTAATCGGGTTGACGTCGTACATCCATCAGCGGAACCCTTTATTTGGTACTGTGGAACGTGACAGAGCGTCTGGGATGTCCATAAGACCGCAATTTGATTTGGCATTCATTCATTCATCAGTTTACTCAATAATTCATTCATTGATTCATTTCTTCATTCATTCTTTTAGTCATTGATTAATTAACTTATTTGCCTGTTCCTCACTCATTCACGTATAATGTTATGACAATATTGTATGCAATATTTCTTTTCAATATTTCTTTGTCAATTTAGACCAGAAAGAGAATTCTGAAAAGCTATATAAATACTATATTGATATACGGATTTGAATCATGTACAGGTAGTAAATTAGTATAAACTTATTTGGAAGCTGCAGAAGTATGGTTTTGTAGACGAATGATGAGAATTCCCTGGACAGATGAAAAGATTAATAAAAACGTCTTAAAAGAAACTGCCTCACGAAGAGAACTGATTGCCCACATAAGACAGGGACAATCTACATTCTTTGGTCATATGATGAGAAGAAGAAAACTGGAGTACATCTTAACGGTAAGAAAGTCGGAGGAGAGGAGAGGGGTCTGTTTTACCACATGTGTCAGAGTTGATTGAAAGTACAACAGACGGAAGGTTGAAGAATAGACATGACCACCAACGCCACACGTTTAAGAAGATAATGTTATGCCTAGGCAGGTATACTCAGGTTACTTATATTTGCAATAAAAATGACCATCATTTCCAGTGATAATTTTTTCCCGTAGCGGTTAGAGGCTTGCCTGCGTATCTGTACGTCATGGTTTCGCTCCCTGGCAGAGCCAGACTTTTTTTTTAAAATGATTTTGACTTCCATGTCGACCCAGCCTTGAGTGGGTACCGGGTGCAGTCCCGGGAAGTAAAGGCGGCCGGTGTTATGCTGGCCACATCACCCATCTTGTGCCGATTGGTAGATAAAAATATTGTTCTAGCCCTAAATCCCTTATACGCCTAAAGGCGTGGAAAAGGGACATTTACTTTACTTTTACATTAGCTTCTGACCATCCTTTGTGTAATGCTTGAAATTTAGTAGTTCCACTCTTGACAGATGTTTAAATAATTTATAAATCATGTTAACATGCTAGTTTAGTGTTGTGAGATTCGTGACACACCCACCAACATTTCGTGCCTGGGCTCACTCGACTTTCGTGACACACCCACCAAAAGTACGTGCCAGAGCACACTCGACTTTCGTGACACACCCACCAACAGTTCGTGCCAGAGCTAACTCGA